TTACCTGTTTCTACAGGGCAAGACTGACTCCTGCAGAGTCCCTGCTCCCAGTGGCACCCTCAGCCAACACCAGCCCGAGATAACAACAGGGACCTGCTGAAGGTCTTCCTGAAAGGGGAGGGACAGGCAGGGGCAGGGAGGGGGGAAGTGTTTCTATGAGATTGAATGGTCTGTTCTCAGAAAAGTCTGCTCTAACTTATCACTGTTTTTCCTCCTTGGACAGGTCCTGATGCCTTCATGCAACGAATGTCCAATGGAAGCTTCATTACCCAGTTTGTCCTCCTGGCATTCACAGACATGCAGGAGCTGCAGCTCTTGGCCTTCTGGCTCTTCCTGAGCATCTACCTGGCTGCCCTCCTGGGAAACGGCCTCATCATCACCACCATAGCCTGTGACCACCACCTCCACACCCCCATGTACTTCTTCCTCCTCAACCTCTCCCGCCTTGATCTGGGCTCCATCTCCACCACTCTGCCCAAAGCCATGGCCAGTTCCCTCTGGAACACCAAGGACATCTCCTACTCAGGATGTGCTGTACAACTCTTGTTCTTCATCTTCTTTATCACAGCAGAGTATTCTCTTCTCACCATCGTGGCCTATGACCACTTCGTTGCCATCTGCAAACCCCTGCACTACGGGACCCTCCTGGGCAGCAGAGCTTGTGTCCACATGGCAGTAGCTGCCTGGGCCACTGGGTTTCTCAGTGCTGTGCTGCATACGGCCAATACATTTTCACTGTCCCTCTGCCACAGCAATGCCCTGGACCAGTTCTTCTGTGAAATCCCCCAGATCCTCAAGCTCTCCTGCTCACACTCCTACCTCAGGGAAGTCAGGGTTCTTGTGATGGGTGCCTGTTTAGCATCTGGTTGTTTTGTCTTCATTGTGGTGTCCTATGTGCAGATCTTCAGGGCCGTGCTGAGGATCCCCTCTGAGCAGGGACGGCACAAAGCCTTTTCCACGTGCCTCCCTCACCTGCCGTGGTCTCCCTGTTTGTCAGCACTGCTCTGTTTGCCTACCTGAAGTCCCCCTCCATCTCCTCGCCATTGCTGGACTTGGTGTTGTCAGTTCTGTACTCAGTGGTGCCTCCAGCAGTGAACCCCCTCATCTACAGCATGAGAAACCAGGAGCTCAAGGATGCAATTAGAAAACTGATTTCATGGACATTTTTTAAGAGTGAGAAATTTGCCACCTGTCTCCACAAATGACTGCCACAGTATCTGGTTCCTTTTTCTTTTATTTTTGTTCTATTTTTATGTTTTTAATCATTATATTTATCATTATTTCTGTGGTTAATTTCTTGCATTGTTATTATATTCCTTCACATTTGCTTACTTTGTGTCTCCTGGTTCCCTTATAAACACGTGTCTAACCCTTGCTCAGAGTTCGCCTCTTTCATAGGAGCTCTGTCATAGAACGGGATCTCCCCAGTGCACTGGGAGATCCTTCATGCCAGGCTCTTTCTGCAAAGAGGCCTGAGGAACTGCACCCCTGAAGTTCCTCTTCCTCCGTGTACTCAGGACTAAATGTCTTTTTCTGACCTTTTATAGATATAGGACTAGCTTTACGAGCCAGTCCATGTCTGGTGACAGTTAAGATGGTGAGTGTGACTGAAGAACACCTCCAGGTCTTTCACACAGGAGACACTGAAGACACCCATCCTCTGGGAGGGGAATCGGGAGCTGTCTGGAGAGCACAGTGGTTGACCAGGGTCAACATGTTCCTGAAGTTGTGTTGAGATGGAAGAGGTTGGCAAAAATTTGGGGCCTTAAGTACAGGACATGTGCAGATCTCCTTCGGGCACTCTCTGATCCCTCCCCACCTGTCTAAAGTAGGAATTCCCACAGAGGGACACACTAATTCAGATGTGGCCACACCATGGTTCACTGGAGGGGATGAAAACTCAAGATGTCTGAGTGGCCAGGCTCCTCCTAACACATGCCCCTGTGCAGCTGTCCTTCTTCATGGTGAGCATGCACCACTGGCTCATATGGTGTCCCTCATAGTGCCCAGGCCCTTCTCCTCAGGTTCATAGCTCAGTTGTCAGGTTTCCTGATATATGGGGTTATTCTTCCCTCTAATGTAAGACTGGCCACTTCTTGCAAAACTGAAGAAGTTTCTGTTGGCCAAATCCCAGCATTTCTCAAGGTTCTCAGCTCTTAATTTTTGCATGTGAATGG